GGATTCCACACAAAGTCTTTCAACTTCTTGTGCGACTGCATTCGCAAAAATTTCTTCCAATAAATTGTAAGATGTGGTTTTACCGTGTAGACACGCCATGACTGATGTGGAACAAATACAGAACTATGCCTGCTACAAGACGCTTGTCGATTTTATACAGACACTTGTATAAAAGTTCTTAGTAAGCCAAGATTAATCCCTCTATTGTATCACACATGTGTGGGACGCTAAAAAATGCTTAGTCAGCAAGTTTCTACCAATCTTGTTTAAACTCGCCCGCGTGACGTCATTGCATATAATTATGACGTATATTAATGAGTGACGTCATTACGCACCCTCATTCCTCCTCACACCTCCTCCTCACTCGTTCACCACACTCCACCACCTTCACCACCGCAAAAATCCGGCCCGATCGGCCTCTATATTACTACTGAGGATCAACTCCTCACCTATCCAAGGAGCATGTGTCCTCTTTTTTTTTAACATTGACTTTGGGTATACAATCTTCCACAGCCGCTTTAAAAACATTTTCCCATTGGAGCTAACAGTTACTTACTGTACGTCGTCCTCTGCTAAAGCAAGGTGCCACGGGGTATATAAAAATAGACTTCTTAAGCCGTGTCAATCAGCCCTCTTAAAAGAGTAGCATTTTTTACGGGATTGTCTGTTTTCGTAAGGTTTACGGCATATATTGAAGGTAATTAGGTTATGGTCTGAAAAGGGTTCGCCCACATATACATCTTGCACATCTTGCAAGTTGTTAAAATCAAAGTTAATTAATTAATGAACCGAATTTTAATACCGCGGTCCTAAATTTCATTGTGTGTTAGAGTAGACGGTTAGATCGTTGTCGCCATGCATGGTCTATGGTATAAATGGCAATGTATAATTACCAATTAACTGCGCATCCCAATGACGCCTTCTCAAAGTCGGCGAGAGCCAACCACGAGCCCCGGGACAAAATGACGATTGGTGAACACGGGCTACTTGTCCCTCTCGACTCTCCCGCTGGCTATTTTTAATCGCAATCAACAAGAGAATTGCCAGCGAATTACTTGCAAGAAATCGCCGTATAACTGATAAAAACGCAATGTGAACGATGTTCAGCTACCGTTTTTGTTGAGAAAACGATCGAAAAATCGTTTATTTCACATTTGGTACATTTTACAAACGATCACGAGGATCAGCGGACAGTGTGCAAGTAAGCGTATTTCATTTAGGACAAACATTAAGCAATGATAAACGATACAATTGTAAATATTTTACCGAGATTTTCGCGGCCCTCTTAGCACTCCGGGCCCGAAAAATTTTAAATCAATTAATGCCAACGGTCAAGCCTATCAGATAATAAAATTCTGTTTATTCAAAATTATAATTAATCTACAGTTTACCAAATTATTGTAGAATTTGTACGTGGTACGTAGTATCTGGCCGAGAGAAAATAAAAGCAGTAGAATGTATAGATTGTATCTGCATGCATGATCAAGGATTCATATATGGTTCGTACACTGAGAAACACAAGGTCTCATCACTATATATAGACGACCGGACAAATTTCTAAATGTTATACTCTGATATATGGCATTTTTTGTTACAAGCTGCCAACTGGCATTTTCGTAGAGCACGCGCATTAATAACACCTATTAAATGTACTATGTTGGCAAAAATGCAAAATTTCAAAAAAGTATCAAGTTGGCAAAACATATAGTAACTTTCAGCATAAATTAGCGCATTTTCTTCATTTTTGAACGCTTAAGAGGCTGTCTCCGTAAAAACCTCCAGGTCAATATGGGGCTCAAAAATAGATTTCTCTCATACTCTAGTATTTTGAAGATCTATCCTTGGGAACAACTAAAATCGATGTCATTTTACTCAAATTTCCTTTAAATTATTTGGGGGGGCGATTGATGTTCGATCGACTGGTAACCAACTTGATACTCCGAATGAAGGCCAAATATCGACATATTTTCAGCGCTATTTTTCAAATCAAATTCATACCTAAATTTCAAAATTTTTGCTCAGAAATATAGACTTATCCTTCTATTTTCGTCGGTGATACAACTTAGATCATTATTCTTTGGTATAAAATAGAAAACAGCGCAGTTATTGACCCTCTCGAACGGATAAAGGATATCGTCTCAAAATATGTCAACTTCGAAAGCTTATTTCAAAATCGTGGCACTTGATTGGCACATGACTTTAACTTTTCTATAAACTACTAACATTAATCAACACAAATCGCCAATAATATCTTTCTGCTCTACCATTTGACAAAAATGACAAGCGCGCAAACTTTGTAAAATTTGAAAATGTGTCGAAATCGAGCATACTTTATTGGTAAACATAATTATTGATATTAACAGATAAAATCACCTTACACTACACTGAATGAAGCTTCAATATGTAAATACATGTCTTTCATCATTATTCTTTGGTTTGGCGCTTGAATCAAATTGTTTGAGTACAGTTTGGCTTCACGGATAGAGTCATTCAATGCCAGTGTGTCCAGTGTCTTCTGCGCGCCTCAATGCCACGAGTCCTGATTGTGACATACTATACAATCTTCGCCCCGTGTTCGCTTTGTTTACCTCTTTAACAAATGCATGTTTAACAAATAACAATATTCAATGAAATTGGAAAACTCAGAATTAGTCATACTACAGACAGAATTTTCATCGTTTTTAAACTGTTTTATAAAAGTTTCGTTTAGAATGTACGAATTAAATGTCGGGGAAAATCCCGGGCAATGATGTCAAATGTCAATATTTCGTTAGTTTCGCTCAGTATAGTTTTCTAGCAACTGAATTGTCTCTATAGGTTTAGAAACAATTATCAATGAAACTAGAATTCAAGTAAGTCACGGTTCTGTATAAAAAAATCAACTTTTTCAGGCCGACCCTGGGTCACTTTGCTCAAGGCTATGCTTCAAGAATTTATATTATTTCTTATTGTATAAAAATATGCGAATATTTTGATATAATACAAAACAATTCAGCGCAAACAGCTGTAACCCATTTGAACATCTCAGTTATTTAATCAATGTTATTCCTTTTTCAGTAACAATTAGAAAGGTTCTGAAAATTAGAATTAATTTATATTCTTCTTTCCGACAAGCTTTAAAAGGTGACAAATTTGCAAGTGATAACTAATGTCATTCTTACACGCCAGCAACTTCGAAGAACAGTCTACTGTGTCTCGGAATTTTCCACACGCAGAAGTAGAAAAGGAACATTTCTACATTATTGTTTACCGTCATTCTCATCTGTCAACATAAAATCTACTGTCTGTCGAAATCGTTTAAGGCCCTGTCACACTATTGCGTATCGTACTAGCGTATGCCAGCGTATGAAAAATATCACTCATACGCCGGTATACGCTGACATACGCTAGGGGTACGCTAGGCATAGGTTGTATACGTTTCAAGCACGGTCGCATACGGTGGCATACGGCGAGGCAGAATTTTTTTTTAAGATTGTTCAAAAATTTTGTGCGTATCGGACGTATGCTGTATACGATAAGCATACTCTAGGCACACGCTCAATACGCTAGAGGTACGCCAGATGTACGGTACTCATACGCTGGCATTTCAAAGGATTTTTGTGCGTATGAAAATGATTTCATTAATTTTCATACGGTTCTCATACGTTTCTCTCATACGCAATAGTGTGACAGGGCCTTAACGTTGCATGATCACAAATTGCGGCTGTAGTAGAAGTAGAATACCATTATTGTAAACACAAAAACCTCGTGCAATACTGTCTAAGACTACTATTTAATTCAATACAAAGAAAGGGAAATCAGAGAGCAACGAAACATTTCATCGTCATTTGATTGACATGTTTACGCTCAGCGAGTACATTTCTTTCGGTTAGGAGTTTTCCCCGAGATTAATTCGTACATTCTATAAAACGAAACTTTATATAACAGTTTAAGGTAAACAAACCAATGAAAGTTATGTCTGTAGTATGACTAATTCTGAATTTTCTAATTTCTTTGAGACATTTTATTTACAGGAGGTAAACAAAGCGAACAGAGCGAAGTTCGTATGTCACATGCAATCAAGACTGATGCCGTCATGGCATTGAGGCGCGCAGAATTTGAACACACTGGACACACTGGCATTGAATGACTATCCTTGAAGCCAAACTGTACAGTCAAACAATTTCATTCGGGTGCAAAACCAAAGAATAATGATGAAAGACATATATTTACATAATCAAGCTTCATTCAGTGTAGTGTAAGGTGGTTTTATTTGTTAATATCAAGAATTATGTTTACCGATAAAGTATGCTCGATTTCGACACATTTTCAAATTTTACAAAGTTTGCGCGCGTGTCATTTTTGTCAAATGGTAGAGCAGAAAGATATTATTGGCGATTTGTGTTGACTAATGTTAGTAGTTTATAGAAAAGTTAAAGTCATGTGCCAATCAAGTGCCACGATTTTGAAATAAGCTTTCGAAGTTGACATATTTTGAGACGATATCCTTTATCCGTTCAGGAGGGTCAATAACTGCGCTGTTTTCTATTTTATACCAAAGAATAATGATCTAAGTCATATCACCCGCGAAAATAGAAGGATAAGTCTATATTCCTGAGCAAAAATTTTGAAATTTAGGTATGAATTTGATTTAAAAAATAGCGCTGAAAATATGTCGATATTTGGCCTTCATTCGGAGTATCAAGTTGGTTACCAGTCGATCGAATATCAATCGCCCCCAAAAATAATTTAAAGGAAATTTGAGTAAAATGACATCGATTTTAGTTGTTCCCAAGGATAGATCTTCCAAATACTAGAGTATGAGAGAAATCTATTTTTGAGCCCCATACTGACCTGGAGGTTTTTACGGAGACAGCCTCTTAAAACTCAAAATCGGCTACGAAAATATACTATAGTCGCTTAAGTGTCTCATACATACATTTTGCATTTTTGTCATCATAATACTTTAATGGGCAACATTTTAAAATTGTCAAATTTTCGGCTATAAAGCCAAAATCAGAGTTGCCAACATAAATTCTTCTTTATTAATGCCTATACTCTAAGAAAATGCCAGTAAGTAGCTTGTAACAGAAAATGCCATCAAACAAATTTAGTGTACATTTTCAGATTTTGGCCGGCCGTCTACTAAACAACGCCATAATAAAAATCCAAAATATAAAGAAACCTGGGAAATTATAAAATAAAGTTACCACGTCTATATGTTAAACACATCCTTAGATTTTATTTAATACCAAAGCTGCTGTATTTGTATAATGATATCAGATCCCTTTATTTCTATATGACTGGGTATATGCTTAATTTAAAATTAAAAAAACATATTTATGTCTGTTTATTACTTAATTAATTCGCCCAAATGAATTACAAGCAATATATGCATAGCGATATTTGCAAATTATACGTAGTTTTATTATACGAAACAACTAATTTAATATACGAAACAGTTAATCTTAGATCAACGTCCTATAACGTCACGTCGCTGTCAGATGATGAACATGGACCAAAATAGCGTGACGTGAGAATTTTTAAAATTATTAACCGGAATGATCTTTATGCCCTCTTGCGAAATCAAAATATGGCATCCTGCAGGGATTTAAAAAAATAACACTGTTCAAAATTTGATACATTCCCAGTATAAATTGGTGTAAAATTATATATCAACGCGGCGGCTTCGCCTTCAGGTGATAAAAATCTATGCTGATTCAATCGAGCTTGATCCACAAAGAAATTTGACATATACTGCGTGACCTTTATGGACATATCTTGGTGAGGTATATCTTCTTTCACTGTCCACTCAAATGCGTTCTTTTCCGGATGCCATTGTGTTGCAAAGATAGGATATTTGATCCCCTCTATTGTTGATACAAATTCTAAGCCATTTCTGTCCTTGTTTGTTGACAAAATCTTGAAAAAGCTTCTCAGTTTCTGATTTCTTGCAAAAGTTGAAGCCAGTAACGAGCGTTTATGCATGTTCATTGTAGTAGAAGCTGTGCTGAAAAAATGTGAGAGCGAGTCTTGTATTGTCCCGAACAATTTGCTATTGCGGTAATCTTGCGAAAAATTTAATGGTAATGGTAGATTCTCCGAGTCAGTTTTGGATAAAACGTTGACGTCTTCGCTAATCAACGTGGATACAAATTCAAAACCAAGACAAGTTGCCCATATTGGGAAGTAATCTCCTTTGCTAAATGCGGCTTTAGCTAAATCAACAACATGCTGACCGATTTTAGCATAGCCAGATGTACTGAGGTTTACTCCGCCACCAGGGAATAGAACCCCATTGATAGAGTTAAATAGTTTCTCTGTTTCTTCTTCACTGAGGTCATTCATTATGGGCACAACTCGGGCTCCTGACGATTCCAAATACTTAACGTAAGACGCAGCGATGTACGATTGCCCAAACTTTGGATATATCTTGCCATGCGTTTCTTGGGACATAATACCAATAATCGGACGATTGTTCAGAGTTGCGGTTGTGTATTCTCCGGTAGTAAAACCATGATAGACGAATACGACTGTGAGGCTTATTATCATGGTTAAATAATTGTGTACAATTGCCATTTCACTTTGGGAAAGGCTAAAAGACCTAAAATGATGCGGCTTTGATTGAAAATGTACAACTTTAATAATGTGTTTGAAATACGAGCCGTCTCGTGTGTCACATGCATGAGCTTATGTTATTACATAATAAATCTCTGCGGGATAGTATTTGCGCGTTGAATTTTTCTACAGTCAGTTGGGGGTCTAAGTTACTCGTTACTCATTTTATGATTTGCCACAGTCAGATGAAGCAAACCAATCAGATCTATAGAGTTCTTCATTTGTACTACAATCAGCAACAGTCGCATAATTCGGTAACAACTTTAGAGCGACGTTATTTACTAATTTCGAATAAAAGACAATTAACTCAGAAAACGCACGCACTCGTGTAAAATTGTAGGTAAGGAAAGATTGCTTGTCTGAAAGGTCGTGAGGTATTTGCTTGTATACGATTTCCCAAAAGAATGGAACCCCATTTTTAGAATGGAACTCGATGGAAATCCATTAATATCTGTCGTCACCATACTTGTTGATGGTTAAGTGCAGACGTAGTGAGCTACTGATCTAGGGATTTGAGTTGCTTCGATTCAAGCCCGAATCACGTAAACATGTCCATTCAGGACCCGTGTACCAAACGTCTTCACAGTAAGCATGACGTAAGCGCAACACGATTATGCCATACACCTCATATGCCCGACTGGGGGGGGGCGTTTACCAGAAAGTGACGAGAATTAAACGGAACTATGCAAAGATTGCTAATATAGTAGTTTTAGCTCGTATTAATATGATAATTAGATGTATTCAATTTTTATATGATCTGGGAGAGGTTTTCGGATCGTCGAATTTCACAGAAAAAAATGTTCGAATTTCTGATCTGGCGAATATTTTGCACGAATTTGCGGATCTTATTATAGTACAGCGGATTGCGAATTTATCTAATATTTTGGCTCGGATTGTGGATTTAGTTGGCAATTTAGTTCGGATCCTTGATTGTGACTTCATAGTAGAGCTTTTAGCGTATCCAAATTTAGACGGGCAAAACCATTGTCGGATCGCGGATTTTGCTTCAAATTTTGGCGGATCGACGGATTTGTATACCCCTATTCCCCCATCTAAGGTGATGATTTTCATGTAATCGTTGCCTTATAATCGGACCCGAAAAATATTTCAGACGACATACCCATATGTCTGAACGTTTTTCATGTATAATATATAAAAAACAAGACGCCTGCTCAGGCGTTCACACTGACCTAAATATGACGACATACGTGCTATGGTGCAGTAGACAAGAATACAAATCGTGAACCGCAAACGCAAAGCGTGAAAGGCTAAAAGCGTGCCGTGATCCTCAGGAGATGTTTTCGTAATGCCCAATGAAACACAAGTATTACTCACAAATACAAACGTTATCCACAAATGCGCATGGTCTAGCTCTGAGCAACTGATTGTAGTATGGTTAATACTTTACATTATACCCATGATTTCATTTGTTCATACTCCTAGGAAGTACTGAATATAGTCATGTTTAATGTTATTGTTGTGTCTATAGAGTTTAGGAGGACCAGATTGGAAAAAAGTTGTAACTTTATCTGTTTATATCCTCAATAAATAAAGTGTTATTATTATTATTATTATTATTATGCGATTCGCTAACGCAGACAACATTGTTTACATTCCGTGAGTCCGTATATTAAACGTATAAAATTCGCAAAACTCAGCGATCCAGATATTGCATTTCCGATCCAGAGACGCTGCACGAAAAAAAACCCAACCAGTCAACTTCCAAGGAAGTGCACTGAGTTAGTGCACTGAGTTTGAAGGTAAAACGTCTTAATTCGAATTTTAGACTCCTACGATTTAAACAGCGCGTTGTTTTGATGTACGTTCCATGGGCCGCGCTAAAAATATAAATATTCTGTAAATACCCAAATAAAAGATGAAAATCTAAAGACACAAGCTTGAAAATAACACCGTATAAATTGTGTTTTGGATTCTGATTCCATTAATACTATTACGAAAAACAGGGGCGTTAGCGTAGGATCAGTGGGGCCAGGCCTCCCCAAGTTTTGCCAAGTGCCCTTTTTCCTGGAGCAAAGTGCCCTATTCTTGCGTGAAAAATACCGTTAAGAATACATTTTTTGTCCAAAGGCCACATTTGAAAACTTGAATCTCTGTTATTTCCGCAAAATTTTTTTCATTTCCGGGGAAATATAATATATCCTGAAAATTTTTTTGTATGTCCGGAAAAATTTTTTCATATTTACAAAAAAATGTGGTATATCTGGAAAATTTTTTTGGTATGTCAGGAAAATTTTTTTTGTGATGACCTCCCTCCCCCCCCCCCCTGTTGCCAACATTTCCGGGGAAAAATTTTTAGATGCCCTTTTTCATTCGAAAAGTGCCCCTTAAAGCCTGCCCCCCCCCCTCCAACTTTTAGAAGCTCCCTACGCCCCTAACGAAAAAGATATGTCCAAAGGGGCCGAAGTTATGTTCGGCGAAATGTATGACTAGTTTACATTGTTCGTTATATTATGAAATATGATACCATACCTTACTTGTATCAAAATTCGCGTCGAAGTTAAAAGTATAAGTGTTATTGTTTAACGCAACAAATCTTCAGTAACACAAAATGTATGCTGTTTCTTGTAGTTACACTAGCAAGTAAATGTTTCCGCGTTTTGTATAGATGCATTGTTTGACGGTAAAACTTCATAAGTCGATCAGTAGCAGGTTTATTAGCTTTGGACCCATCACGGATGTCGCGCCATTGATTGTACATCACGGATGCGCGAATGACTATATGTGTATTGCATAATTATGATACAAACACATTAAGGTATAAATTCTACTGTGCGCATACAATATTTAGTAGTCAAACTGTCAAACCTTTAACTGACTTGTCCTTGTTTATATTCCATTCTATTGTATAAATTCGCTGGGTACAAATCCCGTACAATATTACAGAGAAACGGTGAAATCAGTGCTAAAAGCGTGGCGTGATCCTCATGAGATGTTTTCGTAATGCCCAATAAAACACAAGTATTACTCACAAATACAAACGTTATCCATAATGCCCATGGTCTCTGAGCATGCGATGCGCTAACGCAGACAACATTGTTACATTCCATGATTCCATGAGTCCGTATTAAACGTATAAAGTTCGAAAAACTCAGCGATCCAAATATTGCATTTCCAGAGACGTTGAACGAAAAAAAAAACACCAAGCCAACTTCCAAGAAAGTGCAGAGTAGGATAAATCCAAAATCCACTAAAATTCGTTGACAAGTGTATAAATTGTTTGAGACTAAAATAGACACTCAATGATGCCCGCCCTCTTGAAAACTGATCTCTATAGTAAACTGGAACGACTGAATCACTGGAAACTGAGCCTGCGATGCGCTAACGCAAACTCGATTTCTCGACGACAAAAAAACCCCAGGAAAAAACAGTTGTTTACATTTGCCATATCACATTTTTCTTAAAATTCATTGGCTGTTTGAGTCCTATGATTAAAAATCATTGGTTGGTTGATGTCAGCACTCTAATGTGATTGGTTGAAAGAAAGTGCGATTTCAGCGCGAATCGCACTGCTGGGAGTGCGATTCGTGCTGAAATCGCACTCCTGTGAACCAATCAGATTGCAGGAAACACCATTGATTTCAAAATGAATATAATAAATCCAATAAACATGATATCCAATTCCTTAACACTGAAATCTTTCGTATCTATCTATCTATCTATCTATCTATCTATCTATCTATATATATATATATATATATATATATATATATATATATATATATATATATATATATATATATATATATATATATATATATATATATATATGGGCGCGTATGTCCAAGGCTTGCCGGCCAACTAGAAACGCGCCCCTCTGATCATGCTTGCCTGGAGCCTGACGATTCACGATCGATCATACGGGTAGAATGCATGCAGTTATAACTTCCGAAAATTTGGTTAGACTATTTTGATTTTTAAATTACCCGCTACGACCCGATGGAATATATTTTCAAGATATTCACCCAGTGGACTCCACTGAGCTATACTATATTACTGGAGGACCTTCAATAAGTGAAGCTAAAAACATGGCGGATCTTACGCCATTGCCATGACTACTGGTCCCTAGATTCATGGCAACTACCACTGTCCCAACCGCGGTCCTAAGCTTTCTACAATGTATTCCACCCCCCTGGTTTCAGCACAGATTTCGCTTGTTTTTGAGGTAAAAATCGCACTGAAAATCTGATATTTTTCTCCTATAACTTGGTTGATTTACAACGTTGAGGATCCTGCCTTTTTGCGCCACTCGTAGATGTATGAGATGTACAAGAAGAATATTTTTATACACCGGTAAGAATTTTATATCTTCTAGAAAATTTGAAGCAGATTAATAGCAGAAGTACAAACTACAAAGTTTATACCACGAACACAAAAGTATATGAACAGCAAATTAATAGCAGACATAACAATCTGTAAATGGTTGGCAATTCTGTAAATTTTATTGTTCTTTTGATTTGGCACTGGCCTCGGTTCCCCGTATTTGCGTAGGGTTTTATGGATGGTTATGATTTCAAAGTCCTTGCTGTATACTGTCTGCACACTTGTATTTATTTAGTATTTTAGTATATTAAATTTTCCTTGACAAACTTTGAGTGATATTCTTGCCAGCAGTTGTTTATAATTACTGTGTAGTTATATTAAATCTCACTTACACAACATGCAGACAAGTGAACAAATGCTTTGCTAGCTAGGCCAAAGACATCAGGTTTAAACCATTCAATACCCATTGCAATCAAGCAATTACCATAAACCAGGGGTCTTCAAACCATGGGTCGCGACCCAAAATTGGGTCGCTAGCACACCCTCGAAGGTCGCAAGGCTTGTCTTGGGTCGCATGGGTCGCAATGCTTGTCTAGGGTCGCGAACTTACACTAGTAAACTTTACAAGACGAGAGATCAAGTGATAAGATGCACATATTTACATATGAATATTTCCTTGCGAAATTTGCGATTATAATGTTTTTTCACAATTATTATGAAGCACTCAAGCGCTAGAT